GGCTGGATGGCGGTGCCCTTTCCAATAACAGGGAGGTTTGGAGAAGGGGAGAGGTTGAGTAGAAATAGAAGGGAATTCAGTTTTGGCCACATTGAGCTTTCCAATAATCTGTGGAGATGTACAGTAGGCGGCTGGAGACAGTCTGGAGCTTAGGGCTGGATAAATCTGAGGATCATTTATACAGCTCCATGGGAGCTGATGTCACCACCAAGTAAAAGAGTGTACAGGCAGAAGGGAAGAGTGCCAGATTGGAGCCCACGTTTAGTGGGCAGGACCTGTGACCTGGCAGAGATTGAGAACCCTCACATAAGAGAACAGTGTCACAAAAAACCAGGAGAGAAGAGAGAGCATTAAAGCCAGTGAGGGAGTAGAAGCAAAAGAGAGGCAACAGAGGGGATGGTCAGAGCCAGGGAAGGGTTTTTAAGGATGGCAGAGACAATGGGCATGTTTGTAGGCGTCAGGAAAGCAGCCAGAAGAGAGGAAGAAGCTGAAGATAGAATAGAAAGCAATCTGCTGGAGAAGATGGGAAGGAATGGAAATGACTCAAGCAGGGTGAGGGGTTTGTGTCAGTGAGAGACAGGGCTGTGGGAGATGGGAGGAAACGGCATCTGTGTGATGTGTGGAGGAGGGAAGAGAGAGGGAGCTCTCAGGGAATGGCCTCGATTTTTTCAGTGAAGCAGGAGGCCAGCTTCTCGGGTGAGAGTGGGGAGAGGCATCTTTGGACGTCGAAAGAGACCTAAGAAGAGATGGAAAATTTGCTGAGGGGAGGGGGAGAGTCAATCAGTTAGGGAGGTGTAAATGGACTTCCCTGCTGCAGCAAGGGCCCAGTTGAGAAGATACAACATGAATTTGCAGTGGACCCAGTCAGCATGGTTTGGCATTTTCCACTTCTCCATTTAGAAATGTGAAAACAGGAGAACTATTGGGTGACTTGCGGGAATAAGCTAAGGCATTAATAAGCTTATTAACAAGCTTGACATTAAGGGGGCAAGGGACTCAGAAGAGGGTTGAGTTGAACTGTTAAACTGGCTCAACAAGAGGTCAAGATGGAAGTAATGAGTGCAGCAGTTCAGAGATCCAGGACAGTTCGGAGGGACCCATGGTGAAAAGATGCCACCCACCTCCACAGAAAGAACTGGTAGACTCTGAATGCAGACTGAAGCTTACTGTCACCTTTTTTTTCATGGGGCTTTTTGGGGTTTTATTTTCTTTCACAATGTGACTAATACGGAAATGTTTTGCACGACCACAAAGTATAACCTTTATCAAATTGCTTGCTTTCTCAGTAATGGGGGAGGGGAAGGAAGGTAGGAGAGAATTTGGAACTCAAAACTAAAAAAGTTTAAAATGGTTTTTTATGTGTAATTGGGGAAAAATATTAAATTTTTTAAAAAAATGAGTAGCAAGTACAGTGGAGAGATTGGAGGTCACAATGAAGACAGCAGTTAAGAGGATGGATAAGATCCAAAGAAAGCTGATGAAATGCTAAAGGGCTGATCGGGATAAAGGAAGTGGAATGCTCTGGGGCAATGGCGAGACTAGGGGCATGATTGTATCCGTGTATAGATGGACTGGGGTGAAGAAGTGGGTCACGGGAAGAGCAAATTGAGCAACTGGGAAGGCAGGGTATTAGAGGGAATGTTAAGATGTTGAAGGCCCCTAGTACGATGACAGGAGTTGGGTACTAAAGAAGGACTGAGCTAGGCACTGAACTTGCTGAGGGAGGGAGGGAGGGAGGGAGGGAGGGAGACAGACAAACAGACCATCCCGGAGGTCAGTGCATAGTAGCTACCAGAACCTCGACTGGGTGAGAAATACAGGGTGGATCAACCCCAGAGATTCTCGAGGGATGGTGGTAGGAGAGTCTGGAAGGGGCTGTGGATGTGGGGGAGGGGTATGAGTAAAAGTGGAGCTAGGACTGGAAGGGGTGGCCGGTGGGAGCTTGTTACTTGTGGAGCAGGTCCCTTCTGCTGTTAACATTGGCTCCTACATGAATCGCCACAAGTGGAGAGCAGTTGTTTGCCAGGTCTTAACAGGTCCTCCATCACATCCAAGACCCACCTTGTGGTGAGACAGCATCCCTCTCATTTGTTCAGAGCCAAAATACCTGCTTCCATGCTGGTTTTTACCAACTACAACCATTCTTTTTTCCCTGATCATCCATTATTCCTTGGAGCACATGAAAGGGGGAGTCTACCTCTCTCCCCTCTGGAAAGTCCCACAGTGATTAGCTCCAAGTGATTCGTGGTCCTTCTGCCACGTTCTTTCACCTTACAACCACGTGACAAAGAGGTAAGGATTCCCCATTGACTCTGCATCCTTTAAGAGAAGCCTCTCATTCTTCCAAGGGAAGCCTTAATTCTCCCTGTCATAAAAGGTAGAAGATTCCTCAACTTAACAAACATTTCCTGCAGCCCTATCCCTCTATACTTTGGGAGTGTTCATCGCTCGCTCCTATTTGATGCATACTCTTAATGTGGCTGGCATGGCACAATGCTTTTCTTAGGCCTTCCCATGAGGGCAGTCTGTTTAGGGCTAATCTAAAAGCCTATCATGGCTACAGCCTTTGAAGCCCTTTGCCGACCTGGGGCCCTGACGGAGAGCCAGCAATGAGGTGGGGTCCTGGAACCTGCAGAGAACCAGATCCTGCCCACGACCCACTCAAGATCCTTTTCTTCATCTGTATTAATATGTTGCGTCGGTCACCTGACTAGGGCCTTTCAAATCCCATCCAACAAGCAATCCTTAAGTACCTTCTGTGGTCCAGGCACTAAAGACAAAAGTCAGAAATGAGACGGATAGAAAGAATGTGCTTCCACATTTGGAAGTGCTGAGTTTTGACAGTAGCTGGCAGTCTGAGCTTGGCTCCTGGTGGCATAAGAGCACGTCTTCATCCTGAGCATTATTTCTGATACTCCGTGAAAAAACTTGTTCTCTGCCTTTTCCAAACACGGCTGGCAGACCTGAGCTTGGCAGGGAGACCGAGGCTGGCCTAAAAGCTCACATGGGAAATGGTAATAATAAAGGGCCCCTTTCTCCAGCGATCTACCACTTTCAAAATAGCTTCCTCACAAGTACAAACAGGCCGAGGGGGAGGTGACTTCTGGCTCCCAATCAGCCCGCGGCTGTCAGGGGTGGAGCCAGGACGGGCACAGTCCTTCCCTCCACGATAGGTGGATTTGAGGATCTCGGCACCTTGAGAAAAGAGCCTTGCCAGAGCTCCCTGAGCCATCCAGTTGGCGCTCGGATTTGTATTTGATCTCCTGTCTAACGTATGACAGATGGCTGGGAGAGAAGTGGGAAGATCTGAGGTCGAGGCCTCCACGTGGCTGTAAAGTAGGGATGAGAATACTAGGCCTGCCTACATCACGGGGCTGTGGGCATCCCCACAATGAGACTGTGTGCCCTGCACCACTCCCTCTCTCCCAAGGCTGGGTGAAGTTTGTTAGGCCCACTGCTGTTCTGAATCGGCAGTGTGCAAGTTCAAAGTGGCTTTGGTACGATGGTGCATTTGGCATAATCTTATTTTTTTTCCAAGAAGGCACTGGGTATGGTAAATAGAGGAGGCTCAGTGTCCTAAGCCGTGAATTCGAATCCTAGCTTTGCCACTAATTTGCTCTGTGGCCTAAGGCAAGTCACATCTCGGTTTCTCAGACAAGATGGCCTCGGAGACTTCTTCTGGTTCCGACATCTTATGTTCTAAGAGCCCTCCCACCTTGGTTTTACGTCCCAAAGAAAGAACTCCATGCAGTGTGATGCTCTGAATGCCCCACCTCCAACTCCCCCCACCAGGAATGCCCGAGCAAGGAAAGGCCTAGGCCTTGAGTTCTTTTTCATTTTTGTTTATTTTTTTTTAAAAAAGCCCCTAAATTCTATGGCTTCCAGGAAGCATCAGAGAAATGTAAATGCCATTTCTGTACACTTTGTAAAGCAGTAACTAAACTCACAATGGACGCTCGCGCGCCTGCTGCGGAGCTGCGCAGGTACGATCTTGACGCTGGGACTCAGGTCTGGAACGGGGATACGTCTTCTAGCCTCTTGCTGCTGCTTTTCAGCCAAGCCAGACACATGGACCAAAAGAAGTGAGACTCGACAGGCAGAGATTCATGTACAGACTGGGCCAATGCTCCCCTGGACCGTTTCCTTTGGGGAGGAGGAGGTGAAAGGGTGCTTGGGTTTAGCTTGTTGTGTTTAGGTCTGCCGTGGCCACCAGTGACTGATGCACCCCTCTCCCCTGCCACACATACTCGTCCTCGGACCCTCTCCAGGGGTGCCGGGGTCTTAAGGCGTTTTGTCGTCCTTGGCGCTGGCTGGGGAGAAGGGGAGATGCCCAGTGCGCGTCATCGGCTCTTAGAGAACAACCTTGGGGGATGGATGGGGTGTTCGAGGAGCTGCTGTCCCCTGGACGCGGGCGGGGGTGGGGGGAGGAGGGGGAGACGGGCTGACTGGGAGTCTCTGGACAGCCTTCGGTGAGCAGAAAAATTGATGGGGGGGGGGGGGGGATCAGGGTTTGGGACAGCACTGAGGGCAAGGGTGTTTGAAGCCCTATGCCTCGTCCCAGGGCCACCAAAGAGGGCCCACGTACCCGCGGTAGACCTCTCTGGGCTGCTCGCCAGGCCGCGCCACCGTCATGGGGTACGGCCGGCTGAGCTCGCCTTTCCCCGAGGTGGGTGGGGCCGTGTGAGGGGATTTGGCTGCTGCAGGCAGCCCTGCCCCCGGGTCCCCACCCTGCCCTTCCAGGGGAGACCCAAATTCCCCAGGGCTTTGGTGCAGCATTTTTGGCTCCGATTAGGGTGAGGTGGGGGTGGAAGAGAGAACATGCAGAGCAGCCTGAACTGCCCTGCACGTTGGGTGAGACCTTGGGGTGGTGTCTACTTTCCCAGCTGTGGGGACTAGCTTTCCCTTTCCCTTTGGCTCCAGCCTCCCCCGGCCCCCTCTGCCTGGGGCTGGGGGCCATCTAGTTCCACCTCCCTCATCTTTCTCTTAGCTTCTGCCCCCCCCAGAACCCCCGGATGATCAAAGTGCACGGGTAACAAGGCATAGCCCGGACCCCAAAGACGACACACGAGGGCAGGGGAGTGGGCGCCTCCTCAACTCCCTCCTCCCCACACCGGGACAGAATGGCCTTTCTGAAAGAGGAAGAGAAAAAGGCTGGATTTTATAACACTAAGTGGTGAAGGTCAAACTGAGGACCACGAGGCGCCAGGGCCTCCCAGGCTTCACCTTAGGCCTAAGCGCGCAGGCGGAGACGCAGAGTCTGCAGGGGTCAATCCCTGATGCGCGCAAGCCCAACCTCAAACTGAAGGGTGAAGGGAGAGGTGGGGCAGGGGGAAGTGCTTTCTTGGCAGGCTTCGGTTCCTCGGTGTGTGGTTTTTAAATAGTTAGCGCTCTCAAGGTGGACTGGACGAGACACAGATGCAGGAATTTCTGCCAAAGTCTTGCTTGGAGTAGGTGACCCCTGGGCCCAGGGGGGCGGGGGCCGGGGCTAGTGGCCCCCCTTCCTCCCCCGGCTTCTCTGTTCCTGGCCTTTCTCCTGGCCGCCCCTGCCCTGGCTGCAGGAGGCAGGGCCACAGGCAGGGGCCGCCTGCCATCTCTGGGGCCAGAAAGGGTGGAGGCGACAGGGCTGCGGTGGGTCCGGTCCGCCTGGGCCCCAGAGGCTCACTTGTGCCGCTGAGTGGATTTCCTCTTCCTCCTCTTGAAGAAACAGCAGCACCTGGGGGGCGAAGCAGATGGGGGGGGGCGCCGGTCATGGCCGCCATCCTGAGACGGGGCGGACATGCCCCGCTCCCCTCCCGGCGCTACCTCTACCTGGCCAAGGCCTATCTCCCCCGGGGCTCCTCCACCTCACCTAGGCCCCACCCACAGGGGGCCTGTCTCTCCGCGCTCCCCCGGCAGATCTCCAGGCCTCTGATGCCGTCTGCCCTCTCCCCTTGTCCCCTGACCCAGGAATTAACCAATTCAGCCCCACACTGTCCTCTACACTTGGGGTTCCACGACACTGGTCTCTTGGCCCCCCTCCTCCCAGTCAGAGTGATGCATCATCCACACCATATCCTGGACCCTCTTCCCTTTTTTCTCTACACACTCTCTCTCAACTGGTAGACAGAACTGCTGGCCTTGGAGTCTGAAAGACCCAAGTTCAAATTCGACGTGACCTTGGACAAGCCACTTGACCTCTGTTTGCCTCAGTCACCCCATCTGTCAAATGGGGAACATAATGACTCCCACTCCCAGGGTGGCTGTGGGGCTCAAGGTGCTTGGCTCACAGCAGGCACTGAATAAATTACTGGTGCCCTCATCAGCTCCCATGTCTCTGCAGATTTCTGCTAGGTCTAGCTCGAGCCCCAGTCCCTGTCCTGAACGTCTAATCCCATGTCCCCACCTGCCTAGAAAGCATTTCAAATTGGATGTCCCAGAGAGAAACGAAGCTCCCCTTTCCACCCCTGAACCCCCCCCCGCCTTCCCAGCATCCCTAATCCCGCAAACACCACTGACGTTTTTGAGCATCCCAGGTCCGTAACCTTGGTGCGCGCTCTTACTCCATGTCCTATGAGTCCAGTGATAGCCAGCTCTCCCCCCACCCTTCTCCCTCCTCACCCCACTACCGTCCTCTCCTTTGCTCAGAATCCTGAAATCTCTTCCAACAGGCTCTGCCTTCTCCCAACACACCCTCCAGACGCTGGCCCAAGTGTGACTGCAGTGTTACTCCAGCTCATCAACCTGCCACGGCTCCCTACTGCTTACCCCTGGATCCCAGCCTAGCTCTCTACATACGTCCCAACGCCGCCCTCTGCGGTGCAGACAAGCCAGCCTTCTCTCTGCTCTTTCCTTTTGGGAAACTCTGTCGGTGTGTGCTGTGTGTCTGTCCCTTGGGCAGAACACCCTCTTCTCCCTGCTGCCACCTCAGGGAATCCTCTTATGCTGCCTTCTTTGTACATTCTGACACAATACATATTCATTCTCTACTTCCTAGATCTGTACATCAACGCTGCCACCACGCTGGGGGTCGTGACTGCACCCCTGGACTCTTGCAGCAGCCTGCTGGTTGGTCTCTCTGCTCTTTGGTCCACCAGCCCCTCGGCTGCCAGAGGGGTCTCACTACATCCCAGGTCTGACCGTGTCCCTCCCCTCCTCACGACCTTAGATCACACAGAAAGGCCTCTCGCACTTCTCCCGTCCCCCGGCACGCCCCCCATCCCCTGTGGCCCCCCCCCCCCCCCCCCCCCCCCCGCCCAGTGCTGCTACCTTCCCCTCTGGGGCAGATGCAGGCTCTGTGTGTGCACCACCTCCCCCACTAGACTGGAAGTTCCCAGGGGGCGGTGCCTGGCACACTCCCCCACAGAGGTAAGGGCCTTGAGGGTGGAGACTGTGTCCTGGCCCGGAGCGGGCGGGGAATGAACACCTGCTGCCAGGGCCCGGGCGGCTTACTTTGTTTCATCAGCCACCTCCACTTCTGCAGGGGCCGTGATGGGGGCGTTGGAGTGGCCGGCCGTCGGGTCATCGGTGTTTAGTTCACCGTTGGTGGAGCTCATCACCTGCGGAAAGCGAGAGGGAAGGGTGGACAGTGAATGCGAGAGACATGCACAACAACTTAGGGAGCGGAGCTGGGGCGGGGGGAGCCTGGGGGGGTAGGTGGGGGGCCTGGGGGCTCCCTCAGCGCCCGCCCTGCCTGTCCCCCTCATCCCTGGGAGAATTTGAGGGAGGTTATTTCATCATTGTGGGATGCTCCTGATGTTACAAGCCCCTCTCTCAGTGCAGATGCCACCCCCCAAGGAGCTCAGCAGATGAACTCTAGGGTTCAAGCTGCCCGAGGCACAAAGAACTTCAATGACTTGCACAGGGTCACAGAGCTAGTAAGCGTGAGTCAGGATTTGAATTCGGGTTTCCCTGACTTCAAGCCCAGAGTTCCCTGTCCCATGCCAGGAAGGGAATCAGGTACGGAGTAAGGGGCGCGGGGCCACGTTCTCCATCACGCCAGCTCAGAGTCTCAGCATCGTCTGTGACCCTGCCCTCCTACAAGGAGCTGCTGATCTGGGCCCTTCTCCGTGCACAGCAGCTCTTCTCCCCCGCCAGGAGCCTGGAGCAGGTCGTCATCACCTCTTGGCTGGCTCTCTCCTCCTGCCTTCCTCCCCAAGCTAACTTTCACAGAGCTGCCAAAATCACCTTCCCAGTTCACCTGGGTGACCATGCACTCTGCCACTGGGATAAAAGGCCAAGTCCTAAGACTCCCCAGAGTCTGGCTCCAACAACCTTTCCTGCTATATCACAGCCTGGCCACTGCCACTAAATGAGCGGTTCCCTGACTGTGGCCTCTGTCTCCCACCGCTGTGTTATCTGTGCAGGCGCTAAGAGGTCTCCAGCCTCTCATTTTCCCACCACAGAGCTCAGGTGTTTTCCTTCGCCCCATCCCCTCAGACTCGGTAGTCTGCTTATCTGTGTTTATGCACAGACGGGCCTTGTCTCCATGTCCCCAGCGCCTACTAGCACAAAGCCCTGTACAAAGCAGGTGCTTAAGGAATGAGCTTTTAATCGGCCTTCAAGAAGGGCTCGGAGACGTGTGTCGATCCCCCTGAGCACTCCCTTACCTGGTGTTTGGTGTGGGACTGAGCCTTATCCCGGTTCACTGGCTGGACGGGGACATCACTGTGGATGGTGCCAATCGGGGTTGGCTGGAAGGCAGAACAAAGGAAGGTCAGGGGTTGTGGGCCCCCATGTATAGGATCCACCTCCCCACTGTGACAGGGCAGGAAGGCGGGCAGCTCCCCCAGGGGGTCCCTTCAGCCCCCAGTCAGAAGCTGAAGCGGTGCAGGCCTCTGGGCTGGGGGGTGGGGTGGTGTCCTACCAGGGGTTTTCCAGCCCAGTCATATTCATAATCAAACACGAATCCATGGCGGTCAAACAGGTCCGTGAAGAGTTTCCGCAGATAGTCATAGTCAGGTTTCTCAAAGAAATCCAGACGCCGCACATAGCGCAGGTAAGTGGCCATCTCCTCTGCAGAGATACGAGGGGAGGGGGATGCCGTGTAGGAGCCTGCCCTCTGTACAGGTGCTTTCTATAAGTTGGCTCTTTGGGGTACAGAGGCCAGGGCTGTGTCTCCTTCATTAGACTCACTCTGATAGAGGCTGGCAGGACTTTCTACCTGCTCAGATCAGGGCCTGGGAGCAACACCTGCTCAACATCTGAGGCTTCAACTATCCAAGGTGGCTGCCCTAGTCACAGGGGCCTCTCCTGAAGGTGATGGCGGTCCCAGCCAGGAGGGTGGCTCTGATGAAGGAGACTCTGGAGCACCCAGTGGGGCAATCTGGGTTTTTCCTGCCACCTCTCGTGTGGCCTGGAGGACAGAGAGCCTCCCCACAAGCCCAGGAAAGACCACGAGAGGCATCACTGCAGGGGTAGAGGCTGTCTGTGATCCCACGTGGCTGAAGGGAGGAAGGTTCACTTACCTGGGAAGTTCTCACAGAGGACCTCAACTGGCGTCGCTCTCTTGGTGTCCCCGATCTTCTGATACCGTTCTTTCAGGGTGTCTGCCTAGAGGAGAAAACCCCAGCTGGGCCCAAGCTTGGTGGTGCTGTCCACATTGAGCCCTGCGCTGAGGCTAGGTCAGCTGAGCAAAAGCCAGCGGATTCTTCCATCCGAGGCTGCTTGGACTGAAGTGCTGTTGGTTTCTAAGGCTGAGGAGGAGCTGCCCCCAGCTGCCCCTTTCCAGGGCCAGGCAGCCTTCTTAGTGGGTGCCTGCTGCACTGTCAGACCCACTTGAGATGGCCCACAATGGCAGCATCATGCATACACATGTCCCTGTGGCTACTCTCTTGTAAAACATCCCCTGGGCACCATCCCTACACTGTCAGTGAAGGGGGGAGCCTGAGTCTGACCCCAGAGGTCCTGGCTGTCATCTGTTCCTGAATTCTCAAGTGAAAGGCTGCAGGAGACAGGCCTGCCACATACCAGGCTTTGGGCTAAAGTAGGCAATCTGACTGTGGTCTTCTAGTGTAAAGGGCTGGGTGTGGGGCAGCCCAGGCTTGGTTCTTTTGGTAATTTGCTCTCTCCGCTGGGGTCTATAAAGGGGAAAGCACCATCCCAGCTTGTCTCTGACCTTCGGGGGGCTTGTGTGGAAAAGGTGAGATGATAAAGTGGGTTCTGGAATGGGCCAAGACAGACAGATGAGATACAGAATTCAGGTGTCTCCAAATGCCCTGAGCACACACAATAGAAACTATTTAATTCAAATGATGCAAAAATAAACCAGGGCATGTATGCTACAGTTAGCTCTCCTTCAGACCAAAATGTGAAACACCACAGGGCCAGAGTTAGCGAGAGTGAGCAATCTGCTTAAGAGATCCTCAGCCCTGCAGCCACTGGGCACTATTTACCTTAAGACCTTGCCAGGGAAGGCTCCCACGGAGAAAGTACATGAACATGTGGCCTAAGGCTTCCAGGTCATCCCGCCGACTCTGCTCTGCAGAAGAAGCACATGGAAGCACGTCACAATGTCTACCTACTACGCGCCTGTGGAGGCCCCGGGATCAGCGCCCTCTCTAATACACTTGTCAGTGACGCTGCCTGCTCGCCTATACTGGCGTCCGATCTAACTGGACTGTGAGCTCAGCAAGGGAAGCATCAGACCTGTCTAAACTTTGTACTGCCGTCACCAGCGCAAGCAGCGAGCGAGCCCTTCCCAGCGCAGGCACAGAATCTCTGCTGAAGGAAGGAAGCCCAGCCCCAAGAGGGAGACACAGTTCTTCTGCCTGAAATGAGGACTCCCACCCCGACAAGACACTGGAGACAGGCCTAGAGACGCTCGGGGCTGCTGGACTTCAAAGGGACGACCAAGCCCTGCCATGCGCGGGCACCACAGGAAGGGATGGTCACTCTCTGCCAGGCTGGGTTCCCGCCCCCTCTTCTCTCTCCCTCCCAGGCCAGCTCAGCCCCTCATATGAACACATGCACACTCTCCTAGGCCTCGCCTAGGGGGGATGCGACCCCAGGGTGTCAGGCTCTCTGACAGGCCGGGTGGGGCTTTCTAGGAAACCAAATTGAACGGCCCCTGTTCTTGCACTGAAACTCCTTCTCATTCTGTTCTCTTTGAACAGCACGCCTCCACTTCAGTGAAAATCAAACATTCCTGGACTGACCCCCTCATCTAAGTGTGCTCCCAGTACGGGCAGGTCTCCTTCCTGGGGAAGGGCTCACTTCCACCCTTCCCCGCACACTTAGCCTGCCCATGCTCGGCCCACACGCACGCACATGCACACTTACTCCCTCCTTCCCTTCTCTGCAATGCTGGGTTCTCTACCGCTTCATGGGCTGTGTGTGAGGGGGTCAGCAAGCCGCCAGCCAGAAGAACCTGGGCCGGCCCCAGCCTCTGGGACACTGTGCCTTGAAGCTCCTCCCTCCTTCCCAGGGCCCCACTGGTGGGTACCTTTCCCCAGGTGTGTGTTGATGCTCATGTAGCGCGCCGTGCCCGTCAGGCTCTTGTGCTCGCGGTAGGGGATGTGCTTTTTGGTCTCAGGGTCGATGTACTCCTTGGCCAGGCCAAAGTCGATGATGTGGATGGTGTGTTGACGCTTGCTCCCCGGCCGGCCCACCAAGAAGTTCTCCGGCTTCACGTCACGGTATATCAGGCTCTTGGTGTGGACGTATTCCATCCGTGTGATCTAGGGAGTGTGGAGTACGTGGAGATCCCACAGCCAGGCCTATTCAGTGCCCGGCCCACCGCCCGCTCTATGTTCTTGGCTGTCCCCCGCCGCTCTGCTCTCCCTTCTTAGCCCTTTCCCCGCTGAACTCCATGTCTATTCTCGCCCTGTGTCTGTCTCTGGGCCTGGAACTCAGGAGGCCCAGGGTGAACCCTGCCTCTCACCTACTTGAACACTCCTCCGACAAGAGAAGATGACAAAGACAACAAACACTTGATGGAACTGGAGATGGGATACCTGTGACCAGACTAACACAGGGGGGCCTCTTTGGACTGGAAAGGGAGCAGGAGAGGGCCAAGGCTGGGCCCAGGATGGGGTGGGGGTCTCATCTGTCCCTCAGAAGTAAATTCATGTATGGACGCTCTCTGATGGGTAGCTGAGGAGAATGAAAGTTCTTGAGGGTGACCTCTTAACCTCAAGGGTGACGGCCAAAAAGACAACCCTGCCCTCCCTATAGAACTGTCAGAACCACAGCCCGACTAGGAGAGAGCTGGGACCTGAAGTGAGGCCCAGGGGGTCCGGGAATCTCTGGGTTTGGGGTCTCAGACACATGTTCAGGGTCTTCACTGCCTCTGCCTTTCTCCAGGCTATCTGTTCTAACTGCACTCAGTGGCCCACCTTCTCTCCCTCTGTTACCTCCTGTGAACCCTCAGGCCCCTAAAGGCAGATACAGACCCCTGTCCATTCTGCCCTGCAGACACTTTTTTCCCCTTCTCAGCAGGCCCAGGCCACAGACCACCCCCATCACCCTGGGCCCTCACCAGCTGAATGGCAATCATCAGCACAGTTTTCAGAGTGAATGTCCTGTCGCACAAATCAAACAGGTCTTCCAGGCTGGGTCCCAGCAACTCCAGCACCATGGCGTTGTATTTTCCACACGGGCCAAAGTAATAAACCTGAGGAATCCCTTCTGCAGAAGACAGGAGCGTAGGAAAAAGCAGCAAAGACATGTGCAGTGAGGCTGCTGGGGAGTGGAAAGGACACTGTCTCTGGGCTTTGACTGTCCGCTACCTGGGTGACCTTGGGCAAGTCACTGTCCCTTTAAAGAGAGGAGGTTGGACCAGATGATCTTTAACAGTCCTTTCAGCTCTCTATCCTATTCCCGTTGTGTTACCCATAGCCCACCCCGGAGTCCACTGGGGGAGACAGGCGGCCTCTGTAGGTCACTTGGGCCTCCCTCCCAGGGCTGTATGTGAAGACTAGCTTGTCCGCCACATCCTTGTGCCCAAGTCTTCTCATCCCCAGTTCCTCCCAGTGGTGTAGATTCCATTCCCCTTGCCATTGTGGCACTATCTGATCATATTCATATTCCACCTGAGAGATGGTCTTAGGTCTCCCATAAGTTACCAAACAGGGACTGGGGGAGAAATGAGGGTGCGTGTGTGTGTGCGTGTGACTTGCCCAAGGTCACACTGCAAGTCAGTGGTGGGATGAGGACTCAAGCCCAGGCCTCCGCACTCTCAGTTCAAGGCTCTCTCCACTGTCTGCTGATGAGTGATGTCTCCTATCTGGGGTGCACGGCTACCTGGCTATGCTGGCTGCATGGTTCCACAACAGGCTCCTAGGGTGTGCTGAGCTGGGCAGTGGCCAGGCCTCTTCCCCACACTCCACCTCACAGAAGAAGCCCTCTCCACCCCCCCCCATTCCCTAGAGCTCCCCTCTCCTCTGACCTCCCACAGCACTCAGCACTGCACCCAATTTATCTCACACTGCCCAGACTGCAACAGCTCTTATATTGTCTCTCTTGTTCCACTGAATGAATATGCTTTCCTACCCCTGTATCTGGCTTGTCAAAAAACTGGAAACTGGTCTGGGGAGGTGACCCTAGGCCTCAGTCCCCACGGCAGGCCAAGGGTAGGCAACAAGACATGGGAAGCTATCCTTGACTCATGGAAGGTCAGAGCTGAAAAGGATCTTAGAGATCATAGAGTCCAACCCTTTCATTTAACAAAGGGGAGAACTGAGGCCCCAGATAAGGGCGGCAACTCACCCAAGGTCACAGAGCAGAGATGGGCCTTAAATATGAGTGTCTTGACTCTCAGACTAGAATAATGTTTCTTCAACCCTGACACTTCCTCCCCTGGCTCCTGTGAGGTGACCCCCGACCCAGGGCACATCTCCTTACCTGAACTGCCGAGCTGTTTGTAAAACCGGTACTCCAAATGCAGCTGTGGGGCTCTGGACTTTATAGGTTCCTTCAGAGGGCAGGGAGGGAGAGATGGAGAGAGAGAACAAGAGGCAGAGGCCACAGTTAATGATACAGACTGGTCCAGGGGATGGGTTGCATCTCCTCCAAGGAGGATTCCTCTGCCCAGCTCAGAATGACAACAAGGCCGCCATCACCAGGAATCTGTCACTGGACTCTCATAAAAAGGAACAGATGGGGAGAATCCAATGGAGGGAAAAAAGAGAGCAGCTTTGGTATGGCCCGGGCCCTGCTGGCATCTCGAGCAGGGCTGACGGGCCCTGCCTGGCTGCTGCCTTGGACCAATAGTCCAAGACGTGCCAAGGAAATGGAGCAGAACCAACTGAGTTACATGAAGATGGAACCCATGGCCTTGGTCCTATTGGTGCAGGCCACTAAGCATTAATGTAAACTCATTTCTCAGATCCATCTGAGATAAAATTGTCCCCACCTGCCACCATGGGTAAAGGTGCAAGAGACCAGAGATCTGAGTTCTAGGCCTGGCTCTGCCACTGAATTACAGTGTGACCTTCGGCAAGTTCCTCTTCCTCTTTGGACCTCAGTTTCCCTATCTGTAGAATAAGGGTGTTGAACTAGATGAGCTCTAAGATCTTGGCTCTAAGATTCTATGATTCTCTAGCCTATGGTGCTTTCCATCTCAGATGTTCTGTGTTCTGAGGTCTCCTTTAGCTCTGACATTCCATGTTCTCTAGTCTCTTCCAAGTCTGATATTCTATAGTTCCGTGCCAAAAATCCCCAGGAAGTCATGGTTGCAGATGCATGGTTCCTGTGTGAATCATGGGTTTCATTCTGTAAGCCCCAACATGAACCCAAACCCTGACCATGTGTGGTATGGGTCACAAAAAGGCCTAGGTGAAGCAGTGTAGCCTGTCTCTAAGGCTGGAGGTGTGTAGCTCAAAGTCCCCATGCTAGAAAGAGTGTATATGAAGCAATGTGGGCCTGAGAAAAATGCTATTTATGTTTTCCCTTTTCCCAATTGGAAAATAAATGTGGCTAAGGCCTTCTGCACACCTCTAAAATCAGTCCCTTGTCCCACTTGGACCCTGACTTTAGGGAAGAGAAAAGGCCTCCACTGGAGGAAGATAGTCTATTTCTCTCTCCCCTAGATTAAAACCAGGAGTCTAGTGGGGCAAAAGTCAGAGATGTGGGATGATTTAAAACTGGAAGAGCCCTTAGAGATCATCTAGTCCCAACTCCTTAAACCCCTTTCATATATAGAGGAGGAAATTACAGCCCAAGGCCAGAGTAAACAACCGAGGCAGGATCTGAACCCAGGGCGTCCAATGTTGTTTCATCCTGTCTCTCTGGCCCCACACCAAGGCCTGGTCGGTGCAGTGCAGGCTGAGGCTGAGACCGAGCCCCTGGCGTGGCAGGCTCTGCTAAGGGGGTATATGGAGCAGCTCCAGGAAGCCAGCTTGTAGGCTGCTCAACTAGCCAGGCCTGCAGCGGGCAGGGAGACCTGGGTCTCCTAGGTCATGGCATACTGGGGTGAGCTGACCATTGCCTGAGAAGCACTGGTCCCACTCTCCCCTAAGCCAGACCAATGATCGATTATTCCAGCTCAGGTACAATTCAGGAAAGGCTTTGCTGTATTGGTTCAGCAGCTCTAGTCCCACCTATTCCAGGGGCCTTCCTCGACTGGTCAAGCACTTTCTTGATGTGCTCTGTCCTCATCTTGGTGCTGACAAACCTGCCCTGTCTGTTGGGTAATAGCTGAGCTGGACTGTTAGCCCCTTTCTGAGATTTCTTTTATTCCCTCTCTCCCACCATGGGGCTGGCTGAATTGAATGAAAACTAGGTAAGGTTGGGATTTAGCAAATTAAAGTAGTCTCTGTAGTTCAAGGCTGGGGGAAGGGTTTGGGGTGGAAAGCCAGCAGGGCTGCAGGACCCGGGCTAGAAAAAAACAATTAAAGTTGCCATGAGAAAAGTGGGGTTTAGGGAAGCCAGGGAGTAGCACTTACCAATTTGATAGCTACGTATTCATTTGTATATAGATTCTTTCCTGCAGAAAGAGAGAAAGAAAGGGGCTGTAAACACACTGTTGGCAGGAACCGTTCAGCTCGAGACACTCAGGAACAATCTGGACTCAGTTTTCATCCACATGTTCAGTTGAAAATCAAAGCCATTTTCCAGGCCTGGCACAAACCACCAATCCCTCCTGCCACTGCCTTCTTATGAAGAGAAAGAAGAACAATGTTCACTCGCTGCTTTCTGCCTTATATGTAAGATGCTTACCAGGAGAATGCTATACACAGTAACAGCCGCATTGTGCGATGACCAGCTTTGACAGACTTAGCCCTTCTCAGCAGTGCAAGGATCTAAGACAACTCCAAAAGACTCATGATGGAGAATGCTATCCACATCCAGAAAAGGAACTTTGGAGTCTGAATGCAGATGGAAGCATACTATTTGCTCTTTTTTTCCTTCTGTTTTGTTCTGTTTCTTCTTTCTCATGGTTCCTCCTATTGGTTCTAATTCTTTACAACATGACCAATGTGAAAATGTTTAATACGAATGTATAAGTAGAGCCTATATCAGATTGCATGCCTTCTTGGGGAGGGGGGAGGGGAGGGAAGGGGAGGAAATTTAAAACTCAAAAGTTTATGGAAGTGAATGTTGAAAACTAAAAGTGATGCGGCCGCTGCAGTGGTGAACATGAGACCAGCTCAATACTCTTAACCCGGAGGCGCATTGAAGAGGCAGGAGATAGCAAGATGGCAGAAGCTCCGTTTATTCAGTGCTAGTAGCTTTCTTTTATATCCTCAGTAACACCTGATCAAAGCATGATCTCCACGTGATAGCCAATCACCAAGTCTGCTGGACACCTGCAGCCCTCGTATCAGGGGTATGAGTAGGACTTTTCTCCCAATGAGAGGAAAGCGGAGCCAACCGTGGGAGCTGCGCGTCAGCAAAGGAGAGGTCTTGTGAGACTTCCTTGTTTTTGCCACGCAACAGGTTGTGACCCTCAGCTTCTCCTGAGAGAAGCTAGACCTCCCATGAGAAAATTACCCTAACAAAAAGTAAATAAATTTTTAAAAAAATGAACTACTCCCTCCTCATTGTACAAAGGATAAAATAAGCTCAGAGGGTGAATAAGACTTGTCCCATTTAATAAGTCGCAGAGCTAGAATTTGAGCCCCAACGTTCTGACTTCAAACTGTGTTCTCTCCCTGTGCCATGCCGGGCTCTGACTGTAGTTTAAGGGATGGGACAGAGCAGGAGGCCAAGCTGAGAAGGCCTTCCTCCTCACTGCTGCTGGAACCCTTCTAGTGTGAAACACAATCACCCCCCTTGGAACACCTCTGCCCCCACAGGACAGCCCTTTGGTCTTGGAACTTCCCCCCACCTTCCTGGGAACATTTTCTAGGGTTCTACCTTCCTACCCTCAACACAAGACATCCTCCATGGACACAGCTCCTGGAACAGGACTGGAAGGATGTCAGAGGCTAAACCTCTTACCTAAGCCCTAAGACACTGACAAGAAACCTCCCTTCTCGGGTCTCAGTTTTTTTTTTAATTCATAAAATGGGAATAATATCACCTACTTTGAAACACCTTCCCTAAGCTTTTGTAGGAAAGTGCTTTGTAAATTGTAAAGTGAAAGAAAAATGGGAACCCGTTCCTATGATTATCGATTACCCTTCTCTACCCCAAATGCCAGCAAGCAAGCCCCTTCTCCAGCCCAGCATATGCCCGACTAGGCAGCTCATCTGGGGATGGTTAGGGAGTGGAAACACCCCAGGGAGAAGAAACTACGGAACTGGTCCAAACTGAATTTATCCCCAATTGGAGCTGCTTTCCTCCCCTCCAAAGGACATCTCTTTGGTTTTTTAAAATTTGATATTTTATTTTTCCCCAGTTACACGTAAAAACAATTTTTAACATTCATTTTTAAAACTCTGAGAACCAAATTCTCTCCCTCCCTTCCTCCTCACTCCTCCTCATTGAGAAGGCAAGCAATTTGCTATAGGTTATACATGTGCAGTCATGCAAAACGCATCTATAATGCTCACATCGTGAAAGAAAACAGACCAAAAAAAAAAAAGAGTAAAAAAAAAAAAAAAAGAAGCATGTTTCAATCCGTATTCAGACACCATCAGTCCTTCAGAGCTGTCTTGGATTGTTATATTGCTGAGAATACCTAAGTCATTTACAGCCAATCATCTTACAATATCGCTGTTACTTTGTACAAAGTACATTTCACTTTGCATCAGCCCATGCAAGCCCAAAAGTACAATTCTTGGAAAGGAAAATTCTACCTACACTCAAAACTCCCCTCCCCTTCACATAGTTTCTCCTCTGATAAGCCTGGCCTGCCTTCTCCCTGCACTAGACCACTGCTCGTGCTCCATCCTCCCCACTTCCATCTGATGAAGTCCTTCCTTCCTTTGGAAGGCCCAGTCCAGGGGCCACCTTCTCCATGAAACTTCTCCCTCCTTCAACTGGGTCACATTTTAGCCTGTAATCCTTACTTACATCCATAGCCTATCCCTCCTGTTCAACTCTAAACTCTGATGGCAAGACATTATGTGGCTTTTCATCTTCACTTCACACCAAGTATAGGGCTTTCTGTTCAGTGAATACATTTTTGCTGAATTGATTAAGGAGGGCTACACTGAACATTAACACCAATTACATGCTGCACTAAGGGTTGGTCCAAAGCATGAACTGAAGGAAAAGTGAGACTTATACTCAGGTTGTATTTATGCTGATGAGGGCTAGACACAGTGGGATCCAAGCGCCTGTCCAGGAGCGGCCCAGATAGACTACTGGAAAAAGCGAGGGGGACCATCAATGCTAGGCTACAGGCTCAAGGTGAAGAAAGAGCATTCATTAATGGGCCAGAGACACCAACACTGACAATGTAGTCAGTGAGGCTCCAGGAACTTAGGAAAGAGACAAGAGCTGAGGAGCCAGACAGAGCTCCTGTACACGTCTTGCTGCGCTAGCAGAGGTAGCTCTCGGAACCACCCAGAAGGTGTTGGGAGACCCAGAGACAGAGAGAGTGAGGGTGTGTGTACTCGAGCATGCACATGTCTGGGGGGGGGGGGGGGGGGTAGCAGGAGGAAGGGAGAGGAAACAGGCAGCTCCTGACAACAATGAACAGAATAAAAACAGAACTCCCCACCAAAAAACCACCAACCCCAAAATGAGGCTTATTCAAATAATAATAGGCTTGATCAGGGCAAAGTGAATGGATATAAATTTATAAATTTAGACCAAGGCATGGAACTTATCAGTTAGAATATGTAAAATGCAAACTATGATATGTGCACTGCCAAGCTGCCTGAGCTACTGAGAAAAGCGCACTATTCATGCTCAAAGCTACAGAAGTGGGGCAAGTATTTTGGGTACCATATGTTAAGAAGGACAGGGCCAACCTGGAGGGTCACCAGGATGGTGATGGGCTGGCAGAATGGGGATGTAGAGCCTGAAGAACTAAAGATTTTGCGGGGGGGGGGGGGCAAGAAGGGGCAGGTGATCAGGTCAATTCAACAAACATTTCTACTGTGTCTGCTGTGGTTCAGGCACTGCCTAGGCACAAGGGATCCAGACAAGAAGGCCCTCAAGGGTTTCCACACCACTGAAGAGCTACAACATACACACGATTAAGTATAATCCAAGGATGTTCCAGGATCTGAAGGCCTGTCACATTCAAGTGCAATTAACCTTGTTCTGGACCTACAGGACAGAATCTGGAACAATGGAGACACTTTTAGTCTGACGTAAGGAAACACTTCCTAAAAACAGTGAGTTCCCCAACTTCAGAAGTCTTCCACTGGAGGCTAGAGAGAGACTTGTTAGGGATTTGTGCCTACTTAGGGAGAGGTTGTATTTCATGTTGTCTCAGGGGGCTTCTGTGCTTCAGTGAACACTGCTGGGCAAAGGGGAATTCTCTGGTGTAGGGGAAAAATAAAAGCTTCCGTCCCTGGACCTCAGGGGAAGGGCTGGGGGGGGAGGCCACAGCAGGCAGGTAGACTGACCAGTAAGCTGAATTCCAAGAGGTGCCTTGTTTTAATAGGCTTTATAATGACGAAGTCTCTCCCCAATTCGCCCCCTGCCCATGTCACTCTGAGGAGGCAAATTAGACATACATACACAAGTCCAAGGACTGCTCTTCTTGTTGGGGAGGATAACTATCAAGGTCAAAACCTTTTCTCAGAACCAATGGTCTAGGCCATGGGAGCGGCAACAGGCACGAGCTTTTATAAGGGGCTCCAATTTGCGTCATCTGCCTTTAAAGTAAGTTGCAGCAAGCACTGTATCCAAGTAGGGAAATGAGGCACAGAGTGAGGACAAAAGCTCTTGACCAACTTGGGCCTATGTCCCTACAACAGCAGCAGTATGGGACAGTCTGGAGCAGGGCTTCTTAACCTTTTTCCACTCATGACCCCTCAGCACTTCTTCTTTTTTTGTTTTTGCTTTTTTGGTGAGGCAATCAGGGTCAAGTGACTTGCCTAGGGTCACACAGATAGTAAGTATCAAGTGTCTGAGGCCGCATTTGAACTCAGAATCTCCTGACTCCAAGACCAGAGCTCTATCCACTGCACTACCTAGCTGCCCCATGCTCAGCACTTCTTATGTGGTCGCAACCCACAGTTTAAGAAGCGCTGGTCTAGAGAGCACTCTGGACTGGGAGGCGAGAGGCAGGTATTCTAATGCAGTCTCAGGTCGGCTACCAATTGGCTAAGCAAGTGACTTCCCCTTTCTGGGCTTTATCTTCTCCATCTGTAAAATGGAGAGCTATTTTTTTTCTTCTTTTTAAAACTTTGCCTTACTTCCCTTTCTAGGCTCATTACATGGACTCTCTGAGACGCAGAAAGCATGATAGTATTCTCATTTGTTCATTCACTCATCCATCACATACCATGCCTCAGACCCAATGTCAATTTGATTGGGGGATGGGGGAAGAGGGGTGTGTGTGGCAGAGTTAGACAACACATGCTCCCTGGCCTTACAGTGCAAAGGAATTCTAGGCCTCAAGTCTATTTTTCACCAACTCCTCCACC